AAACACTGGCACCAGAACATTACGGAATCCTGAATTTATTCGTCTTCAAACATGCCGCACGCACCATTCAACGCAATCGTCATTCAATAATGCTTGTCGTATCTTCACGTATCTCTCCATCGCTACCACATTATGAATTTCGACAAAAGCTAATGTGACTTCCTGATTCTGCCTTCATGGGCAAAAATATAAAGAAACAATTTTAAAAATTACTTTTAAATTAAAGCTATTATCTTGTAAGAAAACTGGTTACAAAAAACCAAAAAGAGAAGAAAATCTTCACATTTCTAGTCTGACTGATTATCTTTTGATTTATCTATGTATACAATAACAAATTACTACCTATTACTTATTCACCTACTATTCTTCTCTAACTATTTGACTACATGATTATTTAATGAAAATTTTATTATTTATACCAGGGCTTTCAAAAGTGGATTTTAAATCAAAATCAAAAATAAAATAAATTGATTTGAAATGCACAATTCAAATCAAATAAATCATTTGATTTGATTTGGATGGTCGTTTATATTCTAAATAAATCAAATGATTGAATTGATTTGAATAGTGTACATCAAATCAAATGATTTCAATTTTTATATTTATTTAACAAACAAATCAAATCAATCAGAATATATTTTAAAACATTTTTTCCATGTACAATTCATTTTGGTCAGTGTTTACAGTCTTTTAAAATTAATAATTTTTCGAACATATCGTCATTCATAGACTGCTGCTGAGGTCGTAAAATCATCTCTGAAAAAAAAAAAAGATTTTTTTATCAAAATTTGTTATGGATTAAGTAGTATTTTGTTTTAAATACTCGCATATGAGAAAAGTCTTTCAACTGGGGCGGACGAAGAAAGTATGGAGTTGTATTTGATGAATTAAGCGATTATCCATACATTCGTCATTTGTTCATCAAATATAACTCCATTCTTTCTTTGTCCGCCCCAGTTGAAAGACTTCTTGCGAGTAATTAAAAAAAATACTACTTAATCCATAACAAATTTTAAAAAATGTTTTCTTCTTGATTTGATTTTTTTATTCAAATAAATATGAAAATTGAAATCATTTGATTTGATGTACACTATTCAAATCAATTAAATCATTTGATTTATTTAAAATAAACTCGACCATCCAAATCAAATCAAATGATTTATTTGATTTGAATTGTGTATTTCAAATCATGATTTTTTCCATGATTTGTAGATTTTACAAATCATTTGATTTCAAATCTGAAAGCCCTGATTTATACACTGTATATACACGTTCTAAAATACCTAAGTTCAGCCAGCATTTGGCGGTGAAATAAATCAAATAAAAAACCTCTATCGAGGTGAAGAACGAGTGACGAAACCAAAATTTGAAACACAAAATTTTTGTTATAAATTTTGTGACGAAAAAATAGTTGGTAGATATATTTTCTGTGTACTGTGAATATAAACTTAATATACAGTGAATCTAATTTTTTTGATAGACAAAATAACAATAAAAGTAAGCAGAGATACTCTCCATTGACATAGGATTTATATTCGAATGGCGTGTGAGTGGAGTGTGCCATGCTTAATGTTGTCTACCAAAAATATTAGACTCAGTGTACATTTGTATATTCAAAACTTTGCAGAAATTCTCTCCTTTTTACTTCGAGTTCATACTGACGCAATGAAGCAACGTTTCGAATTTACAAATGTATTGGGGATTTAAATAAGTTCGTGCGGTTTTCCAACAGATGGCGTAAGTAGTATTTTTCGCATCAGTCTACACTATATCCGCCGTCATGTGAAAGTACTGTATCCTATAAGAATCAACAGGTGTCATTTGATCAAAGTTTAAACAATAAGAATTTTTAGAGCATTGAAAATGTCTGACCAAAAAATAATAAATGTGGTTTTTTTCAATTTTAATCATTTTTTCAATGTTTTCAGTGATTTGGAGTAGAAGGATCGTTCGGAAGGTATGGTGTCCTAAGATTAATTTTTCACTGGGAATCCGAATATGTGTTCAATTTTTGGGTTTGGGGTGTTTTGGACCCCATTTTGGCCCAAGGCCTTTCCAACCATACATCAATCGGGGCCAAAGGCCTTCTGGGTCTGGATTTCGTATATTTCGTGTATATATAGCGAGTTCGACTTTTCAACACACTAATGTGGTTTCGTCACTCGCGCAAACTGCCGTCCGCTGTGATCTAATCTAATCTAATTAGTCTGGAATGAATCATTAATAAATAAATAGCTACCAGATGGAATGAAGCAAATAGTGCCAGTTTGAAAATCATGCAAAACCGTGATTAAATTTTTAAATAAAAACAAAAAAAGTGTTTTTTGCTAGGGGTTTTACACCGTTTGCAAATGAAGAATATACAGCAAATCCACGATTCTCGCTATTCTTACAATTTTTACTATTCCGATGATTCCCAAAAATTCAATGATCTATTGTATTTTAAATTCTGGTTGTATAGTATATACACAACGATAGCATTTAATTTAAATCTAAAACATTGAAATTCAATATTTTTTTTAATTTTGAGAAATTTGAGTTGAAAACTAACACAATTTAATAAAAATTAACACAAATTTAACATTTAAATTTCCAATAACTACATATATTTGATATTATCTCTTTGATATTTTCTTATGGAAAAGCATTCATTAGATGGCGAAATTGAAGATCATAAATGTGACAATATTGATGTTCATAATTTAGTTAGAATTGTATTATATTTTAAAAATTATCTGTGTACAGTAAAATGTTGTAAATGGAAATATTGACTTAAAATATTTGTTTCTTTGTAGGCCTTGAGAAAGAACCCCACATTGGTTCGAAACGTCGGCAATTATTAAAAAATAACATTGATTGAAAACCAACCGTTGACCGTTTATTGGCTTTACTACTACATATATTTAAGTATACGTATTACGTATATAAGTTCGTTGTGCGAAACTGTCAAAACACGATCAACAAACTTATATCTACATTGACAGTTTTATAAATGAACTTATTTATATTCATAAGCCGTACAACAATTAAAATAAATTTAGTTCTTAAATTTGATACCAATTATAACAAAAAATATTTAATTTCCAATGTTTTCAATAAATTAAAATTGCTTCATTAAATTGTTAAACCAATTTTAGTAAAAAACATCAAGTGTTTTATGCTAAAAACCAAATTCCACGATATGTCCATGCGACATTTGAAGACTCATACAATATTTGCGTCAGAATTGATCCATGCTCGGGTCGAAGGATTGTTTGCAACCCACATTTTATTGCAACGAAATTATTTTCTCTTTCTTCTTCGTCATCGTTTAACACCAAATCGTTGTTATCTTTTCATTCTAGAAGAACTGATACAAATAAACGAAAATAAAAAATAGAGACAGATTTAGAAAAAAAATGCATCAAAAATAGCATATATCACAAAGACAATGAGATCAAAAACTTTTATCAGAAATCAAATAAAAAAGGAATGAAGAACCCATTATAAATATCAGGTCTTACCTCAACAAATTGAATCTATATTCTAATTCGAATGATAAAATTTATTTCAAATTTGACATCAAATATTTTGCCGATCAAAATGTTGTTGGAATATTCACAGTAAATTTTATCAACACTCTGTTGTTTCGAAATTAAAACAAAGACAATCACAAAACCAATTGTGAATATATCCATTGCACAGCGACCAGTGTTCCCAACACACAAAATCGTTGTTGAAATGACAATAAAAACAATTGATTGCCCAAATCATCCTACAAATACTCACATTTAATTCTCAAGAAATCCTTTTGCGAGCAAAACGAATTTTTACTGTAAACACATATTGGTTTTCAAAGTGATGGCAGTTGTTTATCTAACATCACTGTCAAACGATGCGAGCACATTTTTAATACATATAAAGAAATATCGTTGGATTTGGTTTGACTGTACCTGGAAGCGAGCAAGTGTTCAAGCATGCTCGAGCAAGTAATAAACCTTTTTTGAGCAACCGGAGTAGCAGAGAGTAATTTTTAAAGACTACTTGCTTACTTGCTAGCTGCTCGCATTGCTCCAAAAAAAAGCAAAATAAAAAAATTGACAAAAAATGCTAGCTTTGACAAAAAATGTTGTGTGTTTTCTGTTTATTATTATTTTAATATTATTTTAATTTTTCATCTTCTCATAAAATCGCTTTATATTTTATTAGATTTATCATAATTGCTGCTTTTTTTGGAGCAATGCATTAAGTTTTAAGAAGTTGATCATTTCCACTGGAATTCGGAAACTATTCACATAGTCTTCGTTCTATTTGACACGAACTTGGCCAAAAAATTGGGCCAAAACGTTAAATTTTTCAACGTTATAATGTACTAAAATCTTTACATTTTTGAAAGCCATTTCAGTTATATATATTCCTGTACTGAGTGTGTCCTCAAATAATATGAATAAGCCTAAAACGTTTTGTCAAACACCTCTTGTTTTGGGCCAATTTCAGGGTGAGAACCGCTTGAGTTTTCATATAAATTGGTCGTTTACGATTCAGAAGATGAATATTTATTACGTATTTCAAAGGTCACGATTAGCTTTGATTGCAATATTTGAAGTCTAATGTAATCCTTGATTATGGAGTTTGAAACAATTATTATTCATGCTCACGCGGAAAAAAGTTATTAGCTCACACGGATATTACAGTCTCCTTTTCTTCATTTAAACGATGTGGCTTGAAGAATTAATCCTTGAATAAAACAGCTCAAAAATCATTTACCTTTCAAACTGTAATCAGACGTTAATAAAAAAAAAAAAAAAAAATAATGGAATATAATATAAATAAATTATAATTATAATAAATTGTATACAAGCAAAGGATCGCACGAAAACATTTTAAATACTTTAAATAATAAGTTTCGTGATATTTCAACTTTAAAAAATAGGTATTTATTTCTTAGATTTATTCAATATGTGTTTTATTTAAAAAATAATTTTGCATATTGGAATGTAAAATAACGAATAAATCAATATTTTTTACTTCATTTTTTACGTATTATTTAGCAAAGTCCATAGTTTTCTTCGTAGAGGCTTTCACACTGACGCATTAGTTGAAGCAATGGTGTAATATCATATGGAAATAGTCTCTGGAACACCAAACGATCCAATTTCAAGCGCAGCTGAATCAGAACGTCCATCACACGTTTATATGGTTGTTTTTCGGAATGACAGTTAGTTCGCATAGCACTGGATGAACTATGCCACTTGTTGCATTGTTTTTGAAACATTGTCCAGTCACTGCGAATGTATTTGAGGAAACGCAGAAAATAGAGGAGGAAACAAGTCTCATCAGTGATTAAAAAATCGAGCATTGTTTGCATACCGTATTGAATTAATTCTAAAAATTCTAAAAAAGTGTACACTGGACTAATTATTTCGATAAGCATTCGTAATATTGGCCGATCATTGTTTGAATTGCTCGATTGACGGTTTGTTGTACTGCCGAATGGGGGTTGTCGTGGTAAAAAAGCAATAGTTGTACCCAACATACACAGCATTGCTTCAAGTAAATAATCATCTTGATTGCTGAACAGGTGCACTATCACTTTGCTGAAATGCGTTTCGGGATGAAAATTCAATTTATTTCTCAAAAAAGATTGAATTTTTTCGAACGCATCCTTTGTTACTTGCTCAATATGTGTCCAATCATTTTCAACTGTTTCCACACTACTGCTGCTACTGCAACTATCCATCGAACTATCCGATGAATCACCACCTCCGATCGGTCTTACGGTAACAGCAATGGCCTTCAATACTAAGAGCACTAATTTTTGTAGTAAAGTAAAATCGATCGATTTATTAAAATGTTCATTTAGTTCTAGCTCAATTTCGGAACTTTCGCTATCGCCATCATCACTGTCGTCATGTTGATTTTTTTCATTTTCTGTACTCAAACAATACGATGAGACATCATAAACTATGGTTGAATGTTTGTAACCAATGAAATTGATACTGTTTTCGGCTTCAATCTCATGATTTGGTAACGACGAAAAGATATTATTTCTATTATCTTTCGCACTGTTGAATAGCTGGGTGGCCAAATCAGTTGTGGCTTGTGGCATTTCTGGTTGCAGAGCCAATGTCGTTGTATAACACAATGATGCACTAA